CCCTAAACCCCGAACCCCAAACCCCCCAAAAGGGCCACAGCAAGAGCTTCCAGGACCGACCCTGGAGCCTCCAGAGCCCCCAGAGGACGCTCCCTGCCGGGCCTGGCACGGGCACCTTTGTTCAAGCTTTGGGGGGTTTGGGATCTGGCGTTCGGCTGTGAGGTTTAGGGTTTAGGGTTCGGGTTTAGGGTTTAGGGTTTAGGGTTTAGGGTTGAGGGTTGAGGGTTCGGGGTTTAGGGTTCTAGGGTTTAGGTTTGACTGGCGGGGATACTGGTTAGTAGGGCATTTAGGGCTTTGGGGTTTAGGGTTTGGCGGTTAGTGAGGGCTGATGGCGCGGTCCCTTGTTGGGTTTCGGGTTTATGGTTTGTAGATGTATGCCTGTACATGCCTTTATCGATTGCTTGCCTGCTTGCCTGCCGGCGCGCCTTTCCCAAATCTGGGCATAAAATGCAGTATAAGCATATAGGTGTGTGTGTATATATATATATGTATATTCATATACCTATGTATACAAAAAAAGAGATCTCATGATCTGCGTGTGCGAGCGACAAGTCGAAGGTTCAGCTGCGCCCTGAACCTCCGAAGCCCGAAGCCCGAAGTCCCCAGCCCCCCGAAATGTCGAACCCCACGTGGAGGATCATGGGACTTAGTAAGTAAGGGTTTAGGGTTTGGGGTTTAGGGTTTAGGCTTTACGGTTTAGGGACTTAGTAAGGTAAGGTTATAAGTACCCTAATTGGGGCTATAGTTATAGTTACCTTATGTATAACCCTAGTTACTAAGTCCCATGGTCCTCCAAGCAAACTCAGGTACTGGATCTACTGCTCCGGCCACTGCGATCGCACCCCCTCCTCCTTGGACGTCTGGGACCTCGAGTCCTTGGACCCCTTCCTGGAGCACGAGAGGCTTGGAGGGGTCGGCTCCGAGGTCACCAGAGAGCCCAATACCCCTTAATTAAGGAATATACCTTAAACCATAATATTAAGGCCTCTATAATTTAAAGGTTTTTTCCCTTATTTAAGGGGTATTGGGCTCTCTGGGTCTTTCCGAAGCTGTTTCGTTGCAATTGTAAGTGCTTCGCGCGTCGTCCGTCAGATAAATGGACGGAGAAGGAAGGTTCGGGACGGGGGGGGGGGGCTCGGCTTCTGCCGAGGCGAATGCTGGTGCCCTCAGTATCAAAGATGACGTCATGATTGACCCTGTATAAACCCTGAATCCCTGAAAGGTTATGTTGGGCTGACAGCCCTTGTGCTGAAAGCTTTCCCAGAGAGCCCAATACCCCTTAATTAAGGAATATACCTTCAACCATAATATTAAGGCCCCTATAGTTTAAGGTATATTCCTTATTTAAGGGGTATTGGGCTCTCTGGGTTCAGTTTTCATAGCCCTCGGCCTCTGACCAGGTTCCTTCCGGTCCGGGCTGCGCCAGCTGCGGCCGGCACGAAGGTCCTAAGCGGATTGAAGCCGGGATCCGAAGTTCAGTAACTAGTTTCAGGTTTTAGAGGGTTTTACAGGGTTTTAGGGTTTTAGGGTTTAGGGTTTTAGGTTTTTAGGGTTTTAGGGTTTAGGGTTTAGGGTTTAGGGTTTAGGGCCTAAATGATTACCTGTACTATTTTTGGGGGGTTCCTTATGATAATTGAAGTAGTGTAGAAGCCTAAATAATTACCAATCTTGCTGTTAGGGTTCCTTATTACGATAATACTACAAAGGAGGCCACAACCCTAGTCTAACCATTAAGGCCCCTACATCAATAACTTTTCTACTGTATGCTAGCAGAACATGGATCGTCTGTAACAGCGTATCAAGTCAGGGTTTGTACATACAGCGTAATTTAATGCAAACCCAGAGACCTCCATGCTACTCGGCTTCCAGCTCACTAGGCCTCGTCAGACAGCCTGAAGCCAAATGCAGCCCGCGAAACACCTAGGCAACGCCTTGGCATGGCCGCCGAAGTGGGAGTGGCCGTCCTGTCGTACCGCGAGGAGAAACCCGGTAACCTCGTATCCTAGGCCTAAGCCTACTTCTTGAGTTCTCTGAGATGGTAAGCGTTTTGGGGATGCGCCGTCGGCGCTTGTGATCTGCTTTTAGGGACGGTGGGAGCCACAGGAATTCAATGGCCGGCTGAGGTTCCGGAAATGTTCAGTGTGTGGTGTTTCGGGTGTGGGGAGGGTCCGGGATGATGATTCGAAGGTCCAGGAGAGCTGTTGTGGTCGGCTTCAAAACCTGGGGTGGTCTGCATTGGGAGAACAAGTCTAATTTAGGGGCCTAAATAATTACCTATACTATTTTTTTGGGGGGTTCCTTATTATGATTATAGTATAAAGGATCCAAAACCCTATTCTAATTGTTAAGGCCCCTACATTAAGTCTACTCAAGCTGCCTTTTCAGGAGCTTGCGCAAGAAGCCACTCGGCTGCACTACACAGAGCCTCGGACATGCGATGGCGCAGAGCGGCCCCGAGCCATTTGGGATCCTCTTGGTGCTGACGGGGTGTCTCGAGAACATCATCAATGTCACGGTCTTATACGACAACTAATAACGAGCATGAGTCTTATTATTTCTGTTGTTGCTGCCAGTATCTTTTCGGCTTTATTCATCCAATTCCTGGCCTGGTATTCTCAATCGGTCTCCATCCCGTGTCAAAAGCGCCCCAAACCTGCCGGAAGAAGTCCTCCACCCCCCAAATGGCCCAAGCACTGAACCTTAGATCTACGCGTGGAGAATGTGCAACCACGCAGGGTCTAGACGATAGATCAAGCAATGCATGAGCCCTACAAGAGCCGCAAAGCATCATAGTCTCAAATCCTAACCTAAACCCTAAACCCTAAACCCTAAACCCCAAATCCCAAATCCCAAACCCTAAACCCTAAACCCTAAACCCTAAACCCTAAACCCTAAACCCTAAACCCTAAGCCCTCAAAAAAAGCCTCCCAGCACCGAGGCGGCGCGCCGAGCCGCCCCCAAGGCCTCCCTCTGCGCGCAGACGGCGTCGGCGGAGCTCCGCGAGAGGGATCCCCTGGTGCCTTGGGAAGCGATGGGGTTCAGGGTTTGGGGTTTACGGTTTGGGGTTGAGAGTTTAGGGTTTTGGTTTTTTAGATCCCCTGGTGCCTTGGGAACCCAGAGACTCCAATATCCCTTAATTAAGGAATATGCCTTAAGTTGTAGTAGGATCCCTAATATGCTTTAAGGCATATTCCTTAATTAAGGGATATTGGAGTCTCTGGGAAGCGAAGAAGGGGCTTTGGCTGTAGGTTTTGGGTTTTAGGGTTTAGAGTTTAGGGTTTGGGGTTGAGAGCTTAGGGTTTTGGTTTTTTAGTTCAGGGTTTGGGGTCCAAGGTTTAAGGTCTAGGGTCAGGGTTGACCAGGCTTAAGTTTTTGCAGGTGAATTGGCTCAGTTTCCGCACCAAAAGGTCGGTCTTCAAGAGGGCTGCACCCCAGCTTTTCTGACATGAAGAGCACCTACTTGGAGGATCATGGGACTTAGTAAGTCAGGTCACAAGTACCCTAATTGGGGTACTGACCTTATTTATAACCCTAGTTACCAAGTCCCATAATCCTCCAAGTAGCTGATGCCTCCAAAGGCTTGCAGTGCCGCTACCTTCAAGATCACGCCCAAGAAGTATGCCCTGCCCCAGTCTCAAGAGCAGTTGGATCTGCAAGGTCTGTCCTACGTGCGGTGCCACCTTCACAATGCGCCGGACGCTGCAGTGTTCTGGCCTTGCAGATTCGCCAGGGACAAGGGCTGGTATTCGTGCTGGTGGTTTGCGCGGACACAAGAACAGTAGCCCGAATCAGAGTAGCCAAGCAGACGTACTCGCAGTCACGATGGTAGGAAGAGCGCTGATGATGGCACTGGTGCTGGTGATGATGATAACGATGATAATGGCGATGACGACGACCAGCATGACCGTACAATGCAGGACCATGCTGGTGACCATACTGCTGATAATGGAGGCTTAGTTCCATTTATGTCATAGTCACCCTAAACCCTAAACCCT